CCCCAAAACCCCAAAACCCCAAAACCCCAAAACCCCATCATCCATAATATGAATCAATAGAGGGATTTTCATTTTAGATGCATTGAAATCCAAATAATAATAATGATTGATATTCACTGTTTAATAGATATTAAATCATTAAAATCATTAAATAATCTCATTATCTCTTAAAATAATGTCTTATGTGTAGTCTATCCCCGATTCTAAGTATTTGCTATTCGAGAATTCAGAAAATGAGGATTTCTTAGAATAGATCACAAAAAACAGTAAATATGCTGGAATATCATTTCCTGAATGCGAAATATATAATTTTTTCACTGTTAACTTCTATCAGGATAATATAATATTTCCACGAGTAATTTTGGGACTTAAGGAAGGCAGCCTCATAATATTTGAAAATAATTTAGAAACCAATATTTATCAATGCATGTATACAATACAACTTCGTGATTGCTACATGAGGAAGCATGATAACAAGAATTAAAGTCAGAAATATTAGAAATTCGACATTATCAAAAACAAGCAATATATAACCTTTGTTCAATTAGAGAATAATTCTGAATAAAAATGGTCGGCTTTTTTAAATAATTATGTGATTCGTTTAGACCTGCCTAGAAGATATAAAATAATTAAATCTATCGGTGAAGGATCAAATGCTCAGGTTTTTAAAGCCAAAAAAATATAGTATACATCTCTGGATTGCATAGAAGAAATCAAATAGCAGCAAATTGATGAATAGAAAATTCCTAGATACTACGCACTTAAATCACTGAATAAATCAACTTTCGATAATTTTGAGTCATTCAAGACTCTTATTCTAAACGAGATAAATGCCTTGAGATAACTAAAACTGTGTGATAACATCATCTAATTATATAAAGTTTACGAGTCCAGCAGTCATTTATTCATGCTAATGGAATATTCAGAAGGCGGATCTCTAGTTGGTATTTTATAAAAACAGCAATAAATATAAGAAATGGATATACAAATGATAATGGCTCAACTTTTATTGTCTGTTGATTACATCCATCAAATGAACTTTATTCACTGAGATCTCAAACTAGACAACATACTACTCAACTCCCGCTAGGATTTTAATTATGATTTAAGAGTAGCAGATTTTGGACTTTCTACTGAACTTAAACCCGGCTAATATCTAACAGCTAAATGCGGTACCCCTACTTATATCGCCCCTGAAATGCTGTAAGGGGCTCCTTATGATACAAAAGTAGACATCTTTGCATTAGGCTCAATAATGTACAATCTCATAACTGGGAAATTCCTATTTGAATCTAAAAGATAAGATGATATCCTCTATTTAAACAAAAAGTGCGACCTATCTCATGTCAAGTTCTTCACAAAAGATGTTTCTTATGAATGTAAAGACTTACTAGATATGCTTTTATAAAAGAATCCACTTAATAGGCCAACAGCCAGAGAGGCTTTATAGCACCCTTGGTTTTCCTCGGACAGACAAGCTCTTGAGGCTGGGCTTCTTATTAATAACTATCAATTATGCCCCTTTGAAAGAAACTAAAACATAACATCATTGATGATTAACCTTAACAACAATAGTGCAGCTTTCTCTTAAAGTAATAGGAGATACATTAAGTAAACGACAGAAAAATTATTTTCAAATGCACAGATAAAAAACTGAAATCTTTTTGTAGATTGCACAAATTCCAGACAAGATTTGATTAACAGCTCATTAAAAATGAAAAAAGAATCAAACAGTCCATCACCTAATTCCAGCTTCTATGATTTGATAAAGCATAATAGGAGGCAAGGACTCTCATTCTAAAATGCAACTTCTTCCCCTTAAAATTTGAAGGAGCAGAATCATGAATTTTACCAAATAAATATGGTCAATAAGTCTCTTAAAAATAGAGTTATTACTATTACACCTGACCCTAATGATATGGCAGGCCTCAAAGACTCTTAATTCATTATCAGCAAATCAAAGCAATCGCAACTTAAAAATCTAGATGAAAGCGCCTCTGCATATATCAATTGTGGTTAAAAGAATTCGTTGATATCAAAAACTCATAGTCAAAGTATATATTGCAGGGAAGGTGAAATAAGGCAGATTGATCTGGACGAAGATTTTGGAGTCTCTAGCCATAAGCATAAAATTTACGATTTAGTCTACTATTAATGTGAAAAGAAATTACTCGGAAATAAGAATGAAAACATACAGTTAGGATAGAAACGCAGATTTATATGATCTGTTTATGCAAACCTCAATTAAAAAATTAGTATACCGTCTACTATTAATATTATTTTGTTATTGATTTGTTTTTTTTTAATTTCTAAGCTTAAATTTCTCCTCAATGTCAATTTTACATCAAGGGGTTTTGGGGTTTTGGGGTTT